GTGAATTCAGGCTTTCACAATACATAATACGAATCTTGTTATAAATTGTGATAAATTTTACACAGTATTACACCTTTATTTTAATAACTAAATTAAAAATAGAATTTTAGACATTGATCTAAACAACAACCGCTATGATGAATTAATCCTGTATAAATAAAAGAAAGATAGTCATAAATATTAATAAATACAAATATTCATAAATATTAATGAACACAAGAAAATGCATAACACTAACCCATAATTTTATCAACCCGTCCCAACTACAAGTTGCAACCTTGGAAGTTTCATGAGGGTGCCATTCACATCCAATAACAACATTATCATGTGCTTTGTACTTCCTGTGGTTCATAATAGTAAAGTTTGAATTATAAACAATAATCGAAGACAATGTAGAAGAAAGAAGAAAACTCACTTGAGCACTTTACAAGATTTCCAATCCTAAATACATATATATATAAGAATATAAGAATATATCAAAAAAATTTTTTCACAGGGTCAAATAGTCAATAGTAACAAAATATACTTACCCAATACCAAATGTTACCTTCAGAATCACCAGACATGATAAATCTTCCGTCTGGTGAAAAATTGACCTGACAAGCATATCCAGCAACTAAATGTCCAGTAAATCGTTTCTTGCGATGCATGCGGAACCTATCTTTCGCTCCATATACAACAATCTGATTATCCAATGACTGACAAGCTAGCCACTTTTCTATAAAAAAAAAAAAAGGAAGAAAATTCATAAATCTGAATAATTTATTTTACAGTATAATAACCTTCATATCAGAAGAAGATAATAATTACTATTTGGGTGTAATGTTACAGCGGGCATACTGTGCATATGTGGCTCAGCAATATATTTGATTACAACCGGAATATCAAACTCCCAAGCTCTTAACGTCTTGTCATCTGAGGTTGTAACGAATCGCCTATTTTCGTCTACAAATGTGATAGTGTTTACAGCACCTAAATGTTGATCGTATTCTTGCGTTACTTCACCAGTATTAATATCAAACTAATCGAATGATAAAGAAGTAGATGAATGATTTAATGAATAAATATTATGCTAAATATGAGTGTCGCCAACTGCAATTCTAAAAATAGATTATTATGAATTATATAATAATCTATTTAATCGATTTTTAGAATTGCAGGTTTGCATTTGGCGACACACATGTATATTGAAACTTCATATAGGTTATAGAGACGTTACCTGTACGATTTTTTTATCTGAACATCCAGCCAAAAATATATTCTGTTTATCCTCGTCAGGATTAAATTTTATAACGTATGGGATCTTTCCTGTTGTGAATGATTTAATGCATTGCCCTATCGAAAATATAATGTCAAGAAATTAATTATAAGGCTCTGATAATATGATTATGAAAAAATATATATATACACATACCGGTTTCAGTATCCCATAATTTGATATATTTATCGTAACTAGCAGTCAAGAATCGTTTTCCATCGTTACTAAATGTAATATCACGCACAGCTTTATTATGACCCATATAGGTTCTCAAACATCTACGATCATGATAGACATCCCAAATCTGATATGCAGAAGTAAAATCAAATTAGTAAAAATATATATTAATTGTATTGTCATATTCACCGAACTAGAATTGTAATACCTTTACTTTTGTATCCATACTAGCTGATAATATTAAATGAGCAGATTTGGGGAAAAATCTGATCGCTGACACACCCTTAGTATGACCAGACCTAAAAAATCATATTTTAGTTAAAGAAATAACAATGAAGGTGGGTCATTTAATATATAAACAATGATATTTTACCATGTGTGAATACAACGTTTTGGAATAAAACATTCTTGAGATCCAGGTTCTCCTAATAGATTTACATCTAAGTCCTGTGGCACATGCATATAAGTTCTACCTTGATAATCGAATTCAGATTTTCCTTTAAAATTATAAATATGTAAATTAACAATAAAGGTCATATAGCAATTGAAGTAGATTTCATAAATGAAGCAAACTATAACATACCATGAAATAATGTCTTTTCCTGTCCAACTTCGATTTGTTTTTTAGAACTAACATCAGCATCAGCCTTTTTAGGAATTGCACCCTGAATTGGAAAATAATCAAAAAATTATAAATTGATCGAAAAATTAGAGCGTATCATCAATGATTAAAGTTGAAAAAAAAAACAAGAACCTCTGGAGGTCCAACAGCAGTGCCAATGTTTTCGCCTTCGTAGCCAGCCCAAGGACCTTGATAAGCATCTTCACCCTCTAATATTGCAGAATCACCCTTGGATTTCCTTTTAGGCACATTCTCCAATTTAGGAGTTGCATCATATATTGTAGCACCATTCATAGCCAAGGCTTTTTCAACATCACCAACAAAACCAGAACTTACAACACCATTAGAGCTAGTATTAGAAGGATCCGCAGCATAACCGAAGGAGGCAAAAGTACGTTGTTGGGTTCTGAAAGCAAATTCAGAATAAGCTTGTTCTTCAACATGGCCAGTGAGAACATTCTGGTTAATAACACGAGTACTGAATGGATTCTTGGGACCAACGACAGGCTGAACTAAATCTTCGTAAGGGATATTGACAGTTATTTGAGTGTCGGTTGGTTTGGTATAAATAGAAGTTGATAGTTTTGGATCCTAGAGGGAAATTTCAACCAGGTTACATAAATTTGTAGAACCCCTTATAAAAAGGATAAAAACGATGGGCAATTTGATTAAATGTGGAGTCAAAGTAACGCGCGTTTGAAAAATATGTATGGATCTGTTGAAAAAGGCTTTTATAAATTGTTTTACTTGCGCGATCCTGACAGAATAACAAGAATAAACGTATACGAACCTCCAAACTAACATGAGGGGCAAGATCAATTTTTGGACGTTTTGCAACCTGCGATGTATTGCTTGAAAAAGTGGAGCGCTTAGAGGAAGCTGGATTAGTCGTTTCCTCTTCACTTGACAGGTATTCAGTTGCCAAGAGATCCATAGTTATTGGTATAAACAGAAATAAGAGAATAGTATTTGATACAAAGTTTAATACAGTAACCTAATGCAGTAATGCAGCATAGCAGAAGTTCGTTTTGATTGGTTGTTAAGATACCCCGGAAAAAATGTCGATCATACCCCGGATAGAGTACTGGCTAATCCCGGACAAAAATTTTATAACTCGCGAACTTTTAAAAAACACTCTAAAGACATATTATAAATTTACAATATACTAATTCAGTTTTATATTAACTTTAATTTAGATTTTACAAGTTTTTTTTTATTTTTTTTCGCAATAAATACATATAAAATGTCTACTAAATAACGCGTACACGACTATTCCTAACACTACTATTACTATTACTTATTGTATTATAAATATTATATTCACAAACTATATAAAACAAATCTAAAATTAAATATTTTATTTAGAAAATATATATATAATATTTAAAATTTTATTAAAAAAATTAAAATTTTTAACAAAAATATAGGCATATTTGCCTGTGTTACAAATTAAGAAATAAGCTTTACCAAAATTTATTTATACTTTTTTTCTAATAATTCTAACTCTAAACTCTAATTTAACTATAAAAAAAATCTAACAAAAAAGATTCAAAAAAATTTTAAAAATTAAATATAAATTTTATTATGATTTGATTTTTTTTTTTTTTTGGTATTAAGGTAACCTCTTTGGCCAGGTGACTTTTTATTAAATACAACATATGTTTTTATAATTACAACGAGAGTATATCAAGCCACATGTGCACTTTTGGTGCCTAATTTAAGTAATCCGCCCGAAGGTTCTACACTATCTGCCTTACCTGTACCCCAACTATAGCAGAGATGGCAAATAATCTGAAATGACCTCATGACTTAAATGAATAATGACCAGTTGTTGGTCATTTCAAAAAGTAAAATAACCTATTAGGTCATTTAAAATTTTATATTAAAACTAGAAATAATTTAGTTTGTCTCAACTTTTTAATCAGTTATTTGAATCACATGCATGTTGTACGACTTGTACGTAATCAACCAGTCGTATTATTAATTGCTATAATAGTAATGCAAGTGTAACAGTAAGTATAACGATAAATGTGAAAAACAAAAAATCTCATTTTTTATTTATATATATATGTATTAATTAAAAAACCTAAAAATTCAAGTTTTAATCCACCTGATTACAATTTCACATTTTTTTTTTTATTTATTTTTATTTATTTTATTTAAACCCAATTAAATTTAACGCTAAACGTATCACTCAAAACCATTGCTAGTTTATTCAATTATTCAAAAATTTGAACAAAATTTTTACACGATTTAAAATCTATTCTTGAAATGTATTTCATGCAGTTAAGTTGTACCCATTACTAATTTCTCAGTATCTTTAACATTAATGACAAAATTAAGCATTTGTTTGCTTATTTTATAAATCTAAAATGTAGCAATGGTAAAAGCATCTCCGATGCCACAAAGAAGTAATATGAATTATTCAAATGTAAAGAAAACAGATGCTTCTAATAAATAATTGAATAATTCTAATAAACTCCATTTCACCGATGGGTCATCTGCAGGATGAATAACACGTCCACCTACTTCAAATTTAGTATTTGTAATTTCATCATTTAGTTCCTCAATATTTAACATATTAACCCAATTTTCAACTATATTTGACCAATTTTCTTCATTGAAAGTATCGGAATCATCAACCATATTCTCGCTTATTTTAGAAGGTTTACTTGAATGATTTTGTGAATTTTCTGAAACCGGCATGCTTTCCTCATCATCACTTGTAGTGTGTAAACAATGATGTTCTGACAATTCTTCTTCTTCTTGTAGTGTATCTTCTTTGCCATTATTATAACCATCACCTTTATTATAAAGCTGAATAGGAGTTATAGTGTGAATTCGTTTATATTGTTTCTCAGCTTTTTCAGCTTCATTACGTTTTCGCTTGTTTAATATGTCACTACGCAATTGACTTATGGCTAGTACTTTATGATACTTAAGTTTACTTGATGTGCCATACAAAGTAAAAAAACTTTATTAGGAAATTTAACTCTTAATTGTCTTCTATAAAAAAAATAAAAATAAAAGTAAGTTTTAATAAAACCAAAATACACACAGTTAAAATAAACTGTATTTTACTTTGCAGCTATATACTCACTAGCAGAATCTGAAACATAACAATTAATTTTTACACTTTTTTCTTTGGCACTATCTATTATATCTTTAATGAGGAGTTTTACATTATCAGTTCTTGATTATTGATCACTAATATCACATGCATTCCAAACTAAAGCTTCACTTTGAGAAGTAATTAAAACAATACCAAAAAGATGTTCCTGCTTAATATTAGTCCAGCCGTCAAACGCTGCTGTTACTCCAATTTTATCTGCATGTACACATTGCAAAATATCTTCACCTAATTTTTCTAAATACTCTGGAAGAATCTGATTACTTATTGCCTGTTGGTTGGGTAACTTTAAAGCTGGTGTGATAAAATTAAAAACCTCTTGCATTTCATTATTTTTCATAAAAGTAAAAGGAAGGCTATTTGATATAATTATATATAATATCAAGTTTTCAAAATGTGGTTTATCCTTGTCAGATAATGGATGTGCAACATAGGTAGTAAATGATGTTTGCCTTTTTGGCAAATTAGTTTCTGAAATTTTGGAGGTTGTAGAAATCATGGCAGAAGCTTCACCCTCAGATGCAATATTAGTATTGGCTACTAATGAGTGATTAACATAATGAATTATATAAACAAGCTATTAAAATGTATCATATAATTAATATATTAGCTTTGCTTTTTTTACCTTTATCTTTATTGCTTTTTTTTTTAACATCTTCGGGTACTGATCGCCCAAGAATTTCCAAAACTTCATCTGCATTATATTCTTTCTTAAAATTTAGACAGTCCCTGAGATGACTTTGGCATAATTTTTCCTTATTAGAAACAAAACACTCTGGATTCACAAGTGCAATAGGTAAAGTATATTTCTGTATACACAATAAGCAAACTGCCTTTTTGTTTGCTTTTGGATTATCAGGCTTAGTCAGATGAAAAAATTCTCAAAAATTATGTTCTTTTCTACCTATCTGATATTATTGTAAAAAAAAAAAACGTTAGATTGAAAAAAAGATGCACAAAACATGAAATTTATATTTAATATGAGGTGACATATTCAATTTCCATATACGCTAAATACATACTGCTACAATAAGTTTCTTCTAATTTAGTACAAATATACCCATCCTTTTCTGCTTATCTCCAATGTGTCCACTAACTTGGATATTCTAATGTCTCGGAACAAAATTTTTATTTATTTATTTATTTATTTATTTATTTTTTATTTATAATTGCTATTCCATATAAAAAAAAAGGTGTAATACTGTGTAAAATTTATCACAATTTATAACAAGATTCGTATTATGTATTGTGAAAGCCTGAATTCAC